TATATATATATATATATATATATATATTATATATATTTTTCTCTATTCTTTTCTATTATTCTTATTTTATATATTCTATTATATTTTTACTACTCATTTTATTTACTTACCTTTCTTTACTTTTCTCGTCGCCGGGTGTTGAAGCTTCCATTTGGATTCGGAGAAACCCTTTTTATTTTTACGTTTTTCCTTTTCTTTTCCCCTTTTTCTCTTTTTTCTCTTCTTTCTCTTTTGTTTTCTTTTTCCCTTTACACCTAACCTATACGCAGTTTTGACACGTTTTCTACCTGCCCTCCTATTGACCCTTCTATTCCCTATCCTTCCTGAATATCATTGTCTGTGGAAATCTAGGGAGTGCGAGACCTATCCCCTCTATTTCCTTTGTCCCTCTTTCCATTGTCGGCCTCCCCTTTTTACATGTTTGTTCCTATCCTTTCTACCCCCGCATTTAGCCTCCCTTCCCCTTTATTTCTGTTTTATATCTGTCGGTGTATAACGTGGGAAAATAATTACGGGTTATCCTTTACCAATGCTTCTTTATTCTTAGTATTTATGGTTATAATGTTTAGTCCTATGTGCTATTAGCTTTATACTACTTAACTAGAATTTACAGAGACTTATGAACTACTTATATTTCTATTATACTTATGTATCTTACTATTCTAAGACTAACGCTAGCGTGTTTTCTTCAGGCTATGTGATTTTACATACGAGTCTAATCACACCCCCGCATAAGCGTAGTCTCCGTTCGCCCGCCGTATATGTTGCGCCGATCTCGTGGATGCTTTTACCATATATTCGCGTCCTTTGTCCTCCGGTTCCGCCTCTTTCCAGAGGACCCATGATCGCGCCTCTAGTGTCGGGTATTCTATCTCCAGAGCCTCTACCAGGTCTTTGAACGACATGGTGCAGTGGCTACACCATATCGTTAGCGTGTTCCTCTTTTCCAAGTCTTCTACTTCGCACCGGATCACCTTGGAGCCCCTCCACTGTATTCCCCTTTCTACTTCCTCGGCCATAAGTTTAAATGTCTTTTGACATTTGGTAGTAAATAGTATGCCTCCGCTTTTTACACCCCATCTTACAAGGGAGAACTTTCTCCGCATTTTGAGTGATTTTCGTAACAGTGTATCAAAAATGTGATGCCCTGCATCCCTGGTTACTTCTCTGTCCGCTAGCTTTAGTGCTAGGGTCCTCTTCCCTTCTTCCTCCTCTCCTTCGCTCTCCGTGACTGGTTTCTTCTTCGGTCCTGTTGTTTCCCCCCTCGTTTCCCCTCTCGTCTCCCTCCTTCCTTCGCTCGCTATCGCTCGCGTCTCCGTCATCGAATCCCTTGATTCCGAATCGTCGATTAGCATTTCCGTTGCTTGGCTCGATCCTTGCATCCACATGGTTGAGGTATATCTGTGTATGGAATAAGAGAGATGACACTCCACCATCATTGGTTCCTACCCTCATTCCCTTCCCCCTTGTACTATATTTGAGTATAGTTGAGTAAACCTTCTTCCTTCTCCCCCTTTCCCCTTTCTTTCCCTTCTTCTTTTCCTTTATTCCTCTTTTCCCTTGACCCCCTCCCCCCCTTTCCCCCTACCCTCCGCTAGTCCCCGCCTGTGTGTCACCTCGGTACAAGGGGCCCTTTTTACGGTAAGACGGATCTCCCTACCCCTTATAATTCTATATCCAAATTATATCGTCTTCCTCTTCATCCTCCAGTTCCTCGATCGTCACCCCCCTGACTGGCTCCTCATCGTCGAGCGACTCTCTTCTTTCGAAGGCCAGGATGATGTCCTCACCCACTAGTAGCCCTATCTCTCCCACCATTTTCTTCTCGAAATTTCTTCTTTCTAACAGTTCCTTCGAATCGTCCAGGTCTTCTCTTTCGTTCCAACGGACTTCCGCCCATTCCTCCTCTTCCGGGGGAGGCGGAGAGCTCCCTTCCTCCCCCATCACCTCATCCCAATCGCTGATTGGGGAGGTGATGGGGCTGTAACTTGGGGGGGCTCCCCCCCTGATATCCTCCTCGTCGGATATTTCTATTAGGACGGTCTCTCCGCTATCGCTGTGAGCCGTCTCCTCTCCCTCTTCCTCCTGTACTTCCTCCCCCTCCTGGTTCCTCATTCCAGCACTCCCTGGTTCTTTTACCTCCTCCCCTCCCTGGGACCACTCGCCCCAGGTTGCAGGTGATAACTCTCCAACCATCTCCTCCGCCATCCTCAGGGTCCTCCTCCTCTGCGCTTCCTGGAGGCTCTCCTCCCGACTCCATCGAGATTTCACCCCCGCTCTGTGTTTCTTCACCTTATTTACTCGCTTCTGGCGCAATCTCAGCGCCTGCCGCCTTTTGTCGCTGGACCGCTTTGCCATTTCCTAGAGGGTGAGATTACAAGGATACAGTGTGTGTGATTTTCCCAGCTGGTTCCTTCTTGGGATCCCTTTGCCTCTTTCCTCAGGAGATCCGTTTATACCCTGAGTTCCTACGCCACCTTACGTCCTATACCTAACACAGACAAAACTTTTCCTTCAGCAACTTTCACATACTATACTTTATCCGACGGTTTTAATTCTCGGAATATATCTCGATGTGGCGTCATATGCATAGATGCACCTGAATCTGCTATCCACACTGATTCGATTTCATTCGGCGATTCTGAGAACATTACCATAGCGTTATACGTTTCCTTCAAATTAGACAACTTATCCACTTCCTTTTTGTTTGCCTTCTCGATAGTTCTCTTCTTACACGCTCGAAACTAATGTCCTTTTTCGTGACAATAATTACAGGAAAATTTCTGTTTCATTTTGTCGACTTTGTATTTATTCTTCGTTTTTGCTTGATTATTGGAAAATACCTTTTCTATGCGCTTCTCGGATTTTATATTCAAATTCCTTACTTTTAACGCTAGAACTACCAGAGCAGTCAAAATGACTGGTTGTCACATTCTTATAACGATGATTAAAATATTATAACAATACACTTCCTCAGATCCTTGGCAATTTTGATTTTATACGGGAGTGACGCAATCAGTTAATTTATAAATTTGTTCATTTTTACACGTTTATCATGTTTACCAATCGATCGAAATAGATGTGCGATTATTGTCTGTAGTTCTAGTGTTAATGCTAGCGATGATTCATAATCTTTAGTCAATGTAAGATGCTAATCTTCTCGTATTATTCTTGCAATCAAATTCTCTTTCATTCTTTCCGCCGCGCTTGTGCTTTCCCAAGCCATTCTGGACGTAGAAAATTTCGACGACAAACTATCCAACAGTCTTGACATCACTGCACTCTCTGAAGGCCTATCTTCCGCAGCATCCAGCTTTTTGCAAATAGTTTCAAACCTTTCAATTTGCGTTGCTACTAGTTCACCATCACTAATGCGAAATTTATAGAAGTCTTGCCAAGTACATTGCTTTACATCTTCGCTGGTATCCCCATATAAGGCATTTAGCTTCTCCCAAATTTCTTTCGGTGTCTTACAATTTATTGAAGTTGCATGTAACGACGTCTCCACCGAGCTAAGAAGAATCACTGATGCCCTAGACTGCAACCTTTTCCATTCCTTCTATTCCTTCAACGCACTTGTCTTAAGGGGTCTCCCTAGTGTGACGCGCTAGAAATAAGGCAATCTTTGAGAATTTTTTAAAAGAAAAATACTTCGTGTTACAGTTCCAAGTTTTGAGCATTTATTCATTGACATTTGAAGAATGTATTTAAATTTTTGTAAGCAATAATAATTATTATATTTATAGTTATCGTGGTTATAAAACGACCTCGAAAAAAAAACACGTGTTGCTGGCGAACATGATTGCCGCTGTTGTAGCCATCTGAAACAGAAAAGGCAAGAAGATACTTAATCTGTATAAGTGTGGCTATAGCCGGAACTAGAACAAAAGAAAATCGACAAAAAATACAAAAATGGCAAAACTTTAAAAAAAAATTTCACTTTTCGGCAAAAAATTTGTTAACTTTTTCAGCCGCAAAATTCGAATTTTGCGAATAAGGACTTTATTCTAGTTCCCGCTATAACAGGA